TAACAAATTAGTTTTGCAAATGACTAATGACAAGGTAAATGTATTTACAGTTTTTTTTTTTCATTGAGAAAAGGCAGCTGTCAATGATATCAGAAAGTCTGGACTTAAATTGACGAATGGTTGTATATATAGTTGAGAAGTCGTAAGTTTTAATACTGTTGATTTGGTCAAGTTTCGTGATTTCAAATTTTCAAAAAAGTTCCTTGTATTTTTTAAGTATCTGATTTACACAACTTCTCGAACCTATTGTTGCATGTACAGTACTCTTGAAGTTTCTCCTTCACTACTGTTAATATTTTAGTGAGGAGTAAATAAAGAGATCTTTGTAAGAATTTTTATGAAGTTTTGGAATCCAATATAGATGTGATAATTCACATTCATGTTGGTTGTTAGGATATTTAAAAACTATTTGACATATATTTTTAAAGAAGTTCTTACAGAAAGGATTATTGTATAAGTTGAATTACCACTGGTAGAATTAAATCCCAGTTCATCTAAAATTTAATTCAAATAATGAACTTTACCAACACATAATGTTGTTTCCTGGTTTGTCAGCAGGGATCAGTACATAATGACAGTTTAATCTATCTAATTCTTTTGGTCACTTCTGAATTACTGAACACAGAAGGAAAGCTGGTTTTCATTTTGCCTCTAAATCGCTTAATGCATGATATTAACATACATCTGATACATTTAATCCATTCTGACAACGTGAATTTGAATTTAGAGTCATAACAGCCTCTGTTTCAGATGTGGATGTTTTACAAATATTCAGACAATTAGAGCCAACTAACAACTCAATTTTATGAGAATGAACATGACTTCAGAATTTTAATCGTCAACTTTTCCTTTGGTGAACTATTCCACTCTGAATACAATCAGATTTAAACCTTGACAAACTTATGACTCATAACTATGAATTGGTATATTGTGAATATCAAAAACCTAGTATAATATTAGTTACACAGTCAGTTAGTGACGTAATACAGATTCATACAGGGTGTGAAATGGAAATCCGTATTGGGCGAGGCGAAGCCGAGTCCCAATACGGATTTCCATTTCACACCCTGTATGAATCCGTATTAGGTTACTAACTGACTGTGTTACGAATTTATCCCGCCTCGACGGAGACGTAATACGGAAAATTTCAGGGCGTCATGTGATTAGCTTTTGTCCAATTAGTAATCGACAAATTTGTCTGAAGCGGGATAATTATAATTCTTTGGTCTTTATAGTGATATTGTTAATAGTTCCCTTTACCTTTTCGATACATACTTACGACAATTGTGTCAACAGGCTTACTCCTCCTATAGGCACCCGATGCTTTCTCTTAAACACCCGGGGATCCGTGTTTAATGCCTGTTCAGATTTGTATGAATTTAAGGTTTTATGAAATTGAACTGTATCCTAGCTGGCCATAAATTGATGGCAAAATGATTGCTGAGAAAATAGAATTAGCAAAATGCTGAATATAAGGAGATATTAAACTCTTCCTTTTTTGTCAGTTGTCTGTCCGATTTAAATTCAATAAATCTTCACCAAAACATGCTTTTATGTACCAAATTAATTTTGAGACATTTACATCATTCTCAAGTGATAGTAAAATATATATGTAACTGCATGAAGTTAAAAATAGAGAATCGCAAGTCAAAAATTGTTATTGTGTTTCAATGTTACTTGGCAATCAACGTTTATAGTCAGTTGAATATCTTTAATTTTGAGATCGATGATTCTTCTTTTTATTCTTCTTTTTAATAATGGTAAATGTGTGAAGAATCAAAATAATTTTAGAAATGTAACTTTAAAGATAACCAAGGGTAGGGAAAGAGTTACATTTCTCTCTTAAAGCTTTTGTCTATGATAACATATCAATCCACTGTGACCTTTAACTTTTGCCTGGAACCTTTTAATATTGAGTAATTTGTTTGTAAAACGTCATTTTATTGAAGATTGGGTTACCTAATGACAATTGTAGAGGAGATTGTTAAAGCCGTTGTAGTCTCTGTCGACATTGTACCAGGGCGACTAAACCAATCCAGCATCTCTCATCTAGTGTCACCCTTAATGTGCGGATAAATAGCAGAAATGGGTTTTTTGTTATAACATAGTTTCTCTTATAGCATTTTTTAAGCTTTAAGAAACAAACATATTAGTTTTGTTTTATCAAAAATGAAGTGGTAGACTGTGATGAACAACATTTATTTTTTTTTCAAAAAAGAATGCAATTTGTTTTGATTTTTTAAAATATTTTTTTTAACAATCTATTTGGATGATCAGTCTACAGTGCATTTCTTTTCTATCTCTTCATTTAATCAATTCATATAATCAATGTGTGCGTTTCAGGTGCAAGAAAAATATTATTTAATCAATTGAAATTATAAATGAAAGATCGGTGGATATGGATAACACACCTGTTTATTGTTATCAGAAAATTATGGTATATTGTTATCAGACAATAAAACATGAACACATTAGGACACATGCAACACCTGTTTTATTTGGTTAATGTCCCTTTAATTAAATCTCTTTTCACCATTTTCTCTAATGATGGCAAAGTACGACACGTTCACAATACATAACTTTGTCACCACTGTTTGGTTTTTTTGTCTAAGAGTTTGATATCTTTAGAGACTCATCTTTTCATTTTTTTTCTTTTGAGTGTGTAAAATAGTGCATGGTACATAGTAAATTTTGTAACACTGTAAGTCAATTTGATTGAACTTTGAAAAGTTAAGGTTATGTCAAGACTTCTTTACCCATTTCCTTATCTTACAACTATGTGAAGTAAAATAAAAGACGCGCAAGAGAAATAAATCTTTTGTTATACCTCTCGTTCGGAATCAGAACTCTAAACAATTAGATTTGAAAAATTAAGATTCATTTTTTATTAGAACAATCAGGTGTCTATGTTTTCAAGATGTCCAGATATGAAAGAGAAGACGTTGACAATTTGTCAAAGTGGATTTATTGTATAAGATCTATGTTACATTCGTGTATTTAAAGATTGAGGAGCAAAATGAAAAAAAAAATCTATCCTTCTATATTCAATAATCCAGAAGTGAAAAAGAATAAGATAGATTACATGATCAGTAATTAATGGTCCCTGCTGACAAAGCAGGTTACATCATGTAAGGCTCGTATGTAAGGTTCATTAAATAAATTGTATTCAAGGAGCATTTGGTTTTAATTCTACAAGTGGTAATCCAACTCATAGTTCCCTTTCGATGGAAAAAATCTTCAAAATAATATGTCAGTGATGAATTTGTTTTATATACCAAACAACCAAAATGAATTTGAATTAGAATATCTATATTGGATTCCGAATCTTCATAAAAATCTTTACAAAAAAAGATACATGGCGGGTTCCAGTTAACCAAGCTTCTTTCTTTACTCCTCACTAAGATATTAACAATAGTGAAGGAGAGACTTCAAGAGTACTGTGCAAAAATATATTTGAGATGTGGTGTAACTTTGATGTGGATGCTTCAAAATTCCAAGAAACCTTTGGACAATTTGAAATCACAAGGTTTTACTAAGATCAATAGCTTAAAAATTTACGACTTTTCAACTTTATATACAACCATTCCCACCAATGAATTAAAGTCCATGCTTTATATGCCTTTTCAATAAAAATGGAACTGGTAAATATACACACCTTGTCATTGGTCATTTACAAAATTTTCTTGTTAAAAAACATTCTGATTGTACACACAAGTACTCTGAAGTTGACATCAAAACGATGCTTGACTTTTTGATTGACAATATTTATGTTGTTTTTGGAGCCCAGGTCTTCCAACAACCTATTGGAATTTAAATGGGTACAAATTGCGCCTCATTATTAGCAGACCTTGTGCAAAACATTTGCTGTGGCCTTCATTTAGATATATATCGACGACGTATTGTCAATTAACAGTTGTAATTTCCATTCTTATGTCGATACGATATTTCCTGGTGAGCCTGAAATTAAAAATACCACAGAGTCTGACGCATCGATTTCATATTTGGATATTTTACTTGAAAAAGATACTAATGGTAATCTAACAACCAAGCTCTATAATAAACATAATGACTTAAACTTTTCTATCGTCAACTTCCCTTACTTATGCAGCAATATACCTTCATCACCTGCATACGGAGTTTATGTATCTCAGTTGATTCGATACGCAAGAGCATGCTCTACGTATGAACGATTTCTAAAACGAGGTTACTTATTGATAAACAAGTTGATGAAACAAGAATATCAGCAGTCTCGTTAAAAGTCATCATTTCGTAAGTTCCTTGGTCGATACAATGACCTTGTCAGCAAATACAGTTTATCATTGAGTCAAATACTGACTGACGTTTTTCATACTAATTGTTAGTCCATTATTTATACACTAAATTGACGACGGATTTTTTTTTCGGTATTAGCCGATTATGACATGGAGCACACGGCGGGTGTGACCGGTTGGCAGGGGATGTTCACTCCTCCATGACACCTGATCCCACCTCTGATGTTTGCTCTGCTGCTATTTTGTATTGTTTTATGGACTTTAATATTGAATACTGTTCGTTATCTCCATATGTTTCATTGCTTTAGTGATAAATATTTTGTTGTCATCTGAGATATTTTTCTTACGACTTTTTCATTATATGAACTTTTCTATTAAATGTTAGTTGAAGATTAGAGTATATTTTATGAAAAAAATATCTAGCAAAGAGGCCCTATTATGAATGCAATCACCTAATAAAAATTTACGGAGGAGAAGATCAATACAATTTACAAAAGACGGAACTCTTTGTAAAGCAACGTCTAAGCGGATTAAAGTTTCCTCTTTGTTAAGGATGAAAACTCATTAACTTTTAACTCTTCTTCAGACACACCAAGTCGAGTGTGTACATTTATATACAAGTCAGTAAGGAATTCTCACGAAAATTTGATACAAAAAATTGTATACATTTTATTTTATGTAAAGGATATAACTTCTTGAAAGGTTCACATTTTCTTGTGCAAAAAGGAACTCGGTATCCTATAAATATTCAGAATGCCAATATGATAGATTTCATTTATATCAGTTTGATATTTTATACTTTTTTACATGAAGGTAAGTGTATTAAATATCTGAGCAATATATAATTCATTAATCTATTGTACCTTATACATCATTTTATAATTCACAAAAATATAAGGTATTAAGATGTTTGAGTTTTATTAGAAAAAAGATAAATTGGATCGTATGGCAATTAATGTTAAAGAACAACACATTCGTAAATGAAGGAAATGTAATGTGTACCAATGATTCAAGAAAGACTTATTTTGAAATTAATGTTGTGCATTTTAGTATATTAGGAAATATTTTCTAATAATAGTAAAACACTGTATTCTAACAAGTTATGACACGACAGTGCATTCATTGCCATTTTCTGTAATGACCAGCATTTTATGGAGCTACTGAATGGATAATACCAACATTTTTCATAAATCTATAAAAGTAATTTTGTATTTCAAATTTATTTTTCAAATTAGACAATAACTGGTTGCTGCATTTCATGGTTACAATGACATTCCGTAAAGTTTAAACAAAGGCATTTTGAATCTTATACTAATAGTTATGATTTGAAGCAACAAAATGAAAGGGAAATTATTGTTACAAAAATGTTTAAAACCTGATTTCTTCGATGTTGGGAAATAATACCATAACATACGCTTCAATGAAAACAAAGTACTAATATTCAAAAGTAATTAATTTTATTTATTCAGTTATTTTGCTGAAATCAAACATTCAATATAAAAGCAATAATAAGTCGATATCAAACACAAAATGAAAAAAAACAAGATCCTGGTTAAATATTCTATGGATAAAATGTGATATTTCTCGGTGGTTGACTATGATATTCATGGTTGTCAAACCGCAAAAGAATTTTGATTTTACTTTCTGTTTGTTTCGATCTGATTCTATCTTTTATCAATTCTATATAACTAATGATCAATCTATAAAGGTATAACATGATCCTAATTTTCATATTTCAAAAACTTTAATCAAAATTCTTGAAAGATTGCGCTGCCATGGGAATTTTCGGAAAAAATATGGAAGAAAAATGAAATATATTTTAATCGATTACTATCCCTTTGGAAACCATGCTAACGGTTTTTCTTTCTTCATTTAACGTATAATTATATTTTTTTTATTAAGCGTAAACTAAAAACTTAAAAGTAGCGAAAAAAGAACTTTGCATCTCCGTAGCGTTGTTTGTATGCCTCCTATGAAAAGTAGAAATTAATTGCAGTTTATTTTTATAGATCTGCTATCTTTGTTTCATTTTGTATATTTGCCAGTCTTTAATTTTTTTATTCTTTTTTTTTTGTTTATGTAACACATATCATAAGTAAAAAAATTAGCGTTTTTTGCATTTCTGAGCAATAAAAAAAAATGCCATGAAACATACATATAACGAACCGTAATCAAGCTTAAAAGTCCATTTACAAAACACATTGCCAAGTTTTACTAAAATTTTGCCGTAGACGTAGATTTAAACGTATACTTTACGACTGCATTTACCTGTACGTAGATAGCGTTGTACTAAAGGGTGTAAGTAATGGATATATGCCTCATACTATTCAATATGTGAAATTATCAGCCTGTCTAATAATGTTACAAATACACTAAAATGTAAGATACCACCTTTAGTAAAACGCAAAATTGGCGTAAATTACATAGATGTTTAAGTATACGTTTTGACTTGCAACCTATTGTAAAACTTGGCTCAAGATCCGTAGCAAATAAAATACGGACCTCTTAAAACATTAGAGGAAAATTGAGAAGTAAGCATCCCTGTCTAAGGGTCACACACTCCGTGTATTCTTCGTCATGACGAAGAAAACAGAACAGAGTTTAAATAGACACTTGATATACATGTACTTAATTCATCAACGTGTTGTCAACAGCTTTTATGTTCCTCTGTTATTATGCAAGACCGAAGCCAAGTCAACTGAGCTAGTTTTTTGATGGATTAAAATTAAAATAACAACAGTAGTGAAAGTGAAAAATTGTCATTTATTGAAGTAAATGACGCAAAACAAAATATAAACATATTATAAGGGGGTCAGACAAGACTAGAACAAACTTTGAAAGAATACAAAAATCTTTGGTAATATATTATGCAATCTGACCCCCTAAAATTACATATATCATAAAGCAGGCACTGATATGCCTGTCATCAAAAAAGGGTGGGTAAAAAGAAAATAAACCTTAACTCCTGAATAGGTTGTTGCCATGGTACATTAACACTCTCTTTTAGTTTCCTAAACTGCTCATCGTATGAGCGAAATGCATTGTCCCCATGAAGTTGTTGAATTTCCCTTACCATGTGCCCATATTTTAACAGATTGGGGGCTTCAGCAGGGTATTTTTCTATGTAAACTGCCGAAAACACAAAGAATGCATCTGTCCATTGAGAGATAGATATGGGGCTTTTAAATTTTGGACTTTGGTGTAATTTGATGACCCCCGTGGAAATTGAAACACTCAAAGGTTCTTCTCTGGTATTTTGCAGGGATCGGAAATCAATGAATTCATTATTCCAAATTTTTGACTTAAGTTTGCTAGAAACTGAAGACCCAAGGGGAATGCCATCACTAACGATAGTAGATGAGTAAGGAAGATCAGAAGCCCTTGCTGGCTCACCTGCAAAAACCTGATCTAACAGAGTCCCCAAAACTGGTGTTGAACTTGACACACTGCTTGTCGGCTGCTGAGCTGAAAGTTGCTGAGCTGAAGGCTGCTGAGCTGAAGGTTGTTGAGATGAAGGACCTGGTACTGAAGATGATTGTGGATCTGCTGTAGATTTTGGTAATGTGTCAGATGAATGAGAAGTAGCTGCTGGAACTGAAGGGGCCTCTTGAGTTTGAACACTTAGTCCATTGTGTGCATGTGATTGTTTTAGAATAGCTGTAGCTAACTTGTCATAGTCGATATTTAAGATTTCATTTTGCACAGGTGGTTCCACAGGTGGCAGTTGTAGTGTTACGGTTTCACTAACATCTGTGCCAGTGGGTTGGATTGTCTTCCGCCTTTTCGTGGTTGTGGGAGCGGAGGACTTCTGTCCCCTCTTTGGAGGCATGGCTGTACACCTGAACAAAAAAGCATAATGAAAGCAATTAAAAAATATTTCATGAAATAATTCTTAAATGTCCAAACTGCCCCAGCAGAACAACTTTATAAATCTTTATATACACATGTATATATCTATATATAGCATTAGATACATGTGACCATGTACACATTACAAATGTAAAAAGTAAACAGCTTCAATGCTGCAAAATATTAATTTTGATTAAGGAGAGGGTAAGGGATAAACATTATATAAATGTTATTATCATACCCAATAATATAAAACTGAAAATAGATCACCAAAGGAGAATTTAAAGCTAGTCTGACCCATTTTTAAGATATTATTCTTCGGCTAGTTTAACATAGTAGAAGATTACAAACTAATACAAAGACAAGAAGCCATACTTCATAGAAATATTTTATGTAGATGTTGCGTGTGGTCCCGCAACAGTTGAATATGAATATATCCATTAAGAAATATATTCAGTAAACAGTAATGTCTTATGTGGATGCTACACACGATTAAGAACCAACATGAACAAATATTGAAATAAAGTGTGCTTGATCCTTCATAAAGGAAAAAGTGCATATGAAATAAAATAGTATATTTCATATTACTATGTTGTTGCGTATGGCCCCGCAACATTAAACAGTAACAAACAATTAATACATGTGCAGTCATAAAATGATAATGCGTATGGTCCCGCAACATCACCACAGAATCAACTGCGAATAGTGTACATGAAAACAGTTGTGTAACGTGTATGGCCCCACAATACAACAACCAAATAAGCATGTCTTAGGTGGTATGGTCCCGCACCAAAGGAAAATGCACATACAACAATACACTCGTACAAGATGAAGCGTATGGTCCCGCAACATCCAAAGTAAGCATTCAGTAATGTGTATGGTCCCACAATACAAAGAGAAGTTGCTTACAAAGTGTATATACAGGAGTAAATAAATGCCTACTCCAATCAAGTTTATCTATAAAGCTGAATTAAATTTACTCCAAAAACAAACTAACTGACTAATCATCATCATGTATCAGTTATATAAGGCACGTACAGCAATAAGACTTAAAGTTTATGACATAAACAAATGCAATGCATGCACCCAATGACTTGTAACTAGTAAATCACCGAATATTGGGGTGAATTCTTAATCAACAGGACATGTCAAGTAAATCACTGTTTGTACTTAATTATAATATTTCGCTATATATATGTAAAGCAATTGAAAATAAGGTCAGACTAGCAAATTTAAGCAGAATGATACTGGCCTGAAATGTGCCTATGCTGTAAGATAGCTGAGCGAACACTTCGCCAAAACCGGTGCATAGGAGAGGTGGTCACAACATGGGATGACTGGGAGGGGCATCGGAGATGAACCCCATCCTGACACAGAAATGTCAAATCTGTCCAAAAGCCTCTATGAGGCCAGAAATGCACACCCGAAATGTTTGAGCACTGTTCCCGGAGCATGACATTTATGGCGATGATGCGTTCGTTGAAGTCCGGTGACGAGGCCCAAGGTTGGCGGCGCAGAAGTTGACCCACAATAACTGTTTGTATGCCTATTCCGGAATGTAGATACGATGCTAAAGATAGAATGTCACGTACAATCATTTCATTGGTATGCAAAAGAATGTCGTTTTCCCCAATCTGCATAAAACACACGTGCGGCAACATATCAAAAGTCAAGAAGTCTCTGGAACGAGCGACGCTCGAGATCCGTAGACCACCACGGGCCCGCACTGAAACACTGTAAAAATCCTGATGCAACTTTAAGTTCATTAAATCTGGATGCGAGTCCATATATCGCCGTAAACGAGTTACAAACGAATGTCCAAGTAAACAAATCCTGAGGAAATTCGGCTCTTCCATGTTGTGACACAAGTTCTCCCCAAACCGGTTCAAACCGGATCGCGCACCTTCCGTAAACAAACAAAGTCACTTATCGAAACTTATCAAAACCCTTATCCTGTGGAGAAATATCCAGCAAATCACACTGGAAACTAAGCACATCGAAGGTAGAAAGGTGTTACCCTACCTAAGTTGCGTGAAACAAACTGGAAATACTTTTTTTTCGATAAAAAATTTCCTTGCAAATTTGTGTGGCTTTCTCCTTTGGTAAAAAATAAAACAATGGTCACGTGATTAGGAGAAGCCACGCTGATTGGCTGTAAATTAAGACAATGGTGTCATAGGTTAAAATTAGGTGATTGATCCCGATCTAAAAGTTATAAACATGAAACAACTTTACAATTACTAAGTAAAACATGATACCTTAGAAATAAATTATAACAAATAAAACAATTATAGTTAATATAACTCTGTCACATAAAGGATATTATTATTGTAATAATAATAACTTATGCTTTTCGAGTTGTTACAAAGAATTTCTCTTAAGAAGAGAAAATAATCGTAAATCATAAAACTACCAAAATAAAGATTTAAGTATTAAAAGTAATGACAAGTTACATTTTTATTGTCTTTTTTACAGTGCTTTGTACAGAATGTACATTTTACTCGGGACCGGTATCCTACGTAAGATCGTGTTCATCAGGGTGCTGCGAATCTGAATGCTGCAGTAATAATTTCAAAACGTATGTTACTTAAAGCAATTTAAGAATTATGAAACTTTTAACAAGAGAATCTACATTTCGGTTCAAAATATATATCAATATATTAAAAAATATATATATATGTATAATTATTTATATTGGTCATTTTTAAAAAAAAAATATTAGTAGCAACTAGGTAAACTGTGTAAAGGGTTCCCGAATTCTTTATCATTGTTTGTTTGTTTGTATGTATGTATGTTGTTAACGTCCCTCTCGAGAAATTTTCACTTACATGAAGAAGCCACCACTTGGCGGCGGGGAGCTGCAAATTGAGTTCTTACTCGGTACATATAAACGGCCATTGAGCAGTGAGGGATCTTTTTCGTGCCAGGACCTACTGCGACACGTGAACTCTGTTTATATGGTCTCATCCGAAGAACCATCTTCACGTTGGGATTCGAACATGCGTAGTTAGGATCAAATCCTTACATCGCAACACTAGACGCTTTAGCCAAAACGCCATATGCATACTGGATACTTTAGTCTTTATTTAGACACAATACAAAATAATAATACAAAAAGGTTTTCCTTCTATATCTTGATGACCAGAAAAACATAGCATCCAACCTTGAATTATTCAATTACCTGGTGTCACACTATAATATCATTTTGAAAGGTTGTTCTGCCCCCCCCCCCCCCTTCCACCCCCCACCCCCTAAAAAATACACTGAGTAGGTGTTCAGTTTCAAAGAATATAAAGCTTTTAAAAATTGTAGTAAAATAATAAAGCATAAAAAAGAATTTGAAAACAATCTGTTTGAGAATGTTTAAAATATATATAGACAAAGATATACATTGTACTTGTGTTATCTTGTTTTACTTGTTGAAGGTTGGCCATCATTCTAGGCACTGTGGTCGGATGTGTATTATTCCTCGTGGGTATTGTTATTCTGCTGATTTGCTGTGCAAGAGAAAGATGCTTTCAGAAAGTCAGCCCACGAAAAAGTAGGTGATTTGTATTGGTAAGAAAAATACATTTTTAAAAATATTGTTCTGTTTAATTTTGTCTTAGAGAATGTAATAACACTTAACCATCCAAAGAAAGGATAAAAATTTTCATTTTCGTTTAGTATGAAGTGTGCAAGTATGTTTTCAAACGGCGAAGACAAATGACCATAGAATACATGAAAAAATATGTTTATAATATATTAATGTTTTGTTTTTTTCAGGTGCAGGAAATGAAAATCCAGTTTTGACTAACGCCAGCAAAGCAGAGGGAAAAGATCATTCATAAACTACTTAATTCATTTAGGAATAAATTTTTCTTTAAATACCTCAAGGTTTTGGTTGAATTTGCTCACCTCTTGGCCTTTCTGCTTGATATTATTTAATCATTATTTTCTTTTGAAATAAATATAAGCACTGAAATCTTAACTTATACAAATATAATCTCCTCTAAAACATTTTAAGAAATTCAACTCGAATTCATAAACAAACAAATATTGAAAAATTCTAAAATAAAATTTACTTCAAATTCCATCTCATTCTAAAACACATTGGAATCAAGGTCTAGATTAAAGGAAATCCAATTTTTTGAATCGAATCTTTAAAATACTTTTATGGGGCACAGATATTAACTTTTTTATAAGACAATTTCTAAGAACTAAAAAAAGAATAAGATAAATTCAACGATCAGTGTGTAATAATCACAGCTGACAAAGCGGGTGCTAACAATATTTTTATTTGTAAGGATCATAATAAATTGTATTTAAGAGGTACTTAGATTTAATTCTAAAAATAGTAATCCCAACTTATGCTCATAGCCCTCTTTCAAAGGAGAAAATTCATGGAAATCATATTTCAGTTTTGAATGTTTTAAATATTCCAAACAACAAAAAAGAATTTGAATTTACATTTCTATATTGGATTCCAAAACATGATATGTCTTATATACAAAGATACAGAGCAGGTTTCAGTAATTATTCTACATGTACAAAGTCTCTCAATTTTTACCCCTCAATAAGATATCAACAGTAATGAAGTAGTCGGGAGTATTGTGCAAAAATGTAAGTGGTATAAATCAGGTGTAGATACTTAAAACGTCCAAGAAACATTTTGGGAACTTGAAATATATTTTTTTAACTTAATCAAAAACTGTAAAATTTTGTGACTTTTCAGCATGTACCATTTCCAGAAATAAATTAAATTTCAGAAATTGTCACATCGTTGGCTGCTGCCTTTTCAATAAAAATGGAACTAGTTAATACACCAATTTTGTCATTGGTTATAATAAATTTATTTAAAATTAATCTAGCTGATCGTACACACAAGTACTCTGAAGATGATATTTAAAATATTATTGAGTTCTGATTGACACTATTTAGTATTTTATTTTTGGAAACCTTGTTTTTGGAGGACTTCCAACAATATGATAAAAATCAAATCAGATAGAAGATGCCTTATTTTTAAAGATTAGAACGACAAACACAAGCAAAAAACGTAATATATGAAATAAAAACTTTGAAAAATGCAACAGCTATTCGAACTGGAGATATAATTAGTACATTTTGTGAATTGTACTAAAATCGACATGCAGGTAAAATGCTTCTGAAAATGTTATAAATGAACACTTATAAGACATTAAAGGTTCTTTAACATCAGATTAAAAAGGACAATTTTCTGAAGAATGCCTTACCCTCACAGAATGTGAAAAAGGTATAAAACAAAACATAACATAGTCATTTGCCTCAGATGGATTGCCCAATAAGTTTCGTAAAATATTTCGGAAATTCCGAATGTTATACTCAGTACTCAGTAAACAAAAAAAATTAAAATTAAATTTAAAAAGATAAAATTCAATAAAACAGATTTTTGAAAGAAAAAACGAAATGCCCTTTACACAAAGATGGTGAGTAATTTCTTTGATTAATAAAGAGGGCAAAATCGGCTTCACCAAATTGACATTGTATTTATAAAATAAAAAAAACTCTCTTTTGTATCTGCAAAAAGATTACAAAATCTTAAAGATAAACTCACCAGCAAAGATCAAACAGAATACAAATATTAAAAGTAGAGTTATCGGCACGAATGAACGACTTTTGTTAGATATATTTTTCTAATAAAGAGGGTATACTGTTAATTTTAGACTTTCAAAAAGTTTCTCCTCCACATATGAGACTTTCTTTTCAAAACTTTTGAAAAAAATGGACAACAGTTTTTGAAATGAATAGAATTCGTTATGAAATATCAGGCTTGCGCTTTAAAAATTTAAAGTTGCAAATTGAAACAAGAATGCCCGATTTCAGCGATAATTTTCCTTTCCTTAATTTTGTAGAAATTATGTCTTCAGAGATTAAGTCACCTGAAAATTTGAAAAAAAAGTTAACTATTGATTTAATGGACACAGAGATGACATTTTTACAACATGCAGACAATGCATCATTGCCAGTATTTATTGAAATATCAATGGAAAACTCTAAGTTTAAAAAATAAGTTTGTTCTAGCATCAGGTATGCAGTTGGACATTTAAAGATGGGGAACAGAGCGGGCAGAAAACCCTTGGCTAGCGAAAATGATTTTACCTCAGCCATCTGAAGACAGATTTAAAACTTTGAGGTTAAGTTTAAAAATGAGCCAGTAAGAAGTTTAGAATTTATTTATTGGCCACCACAGTGAAAAGAGCTACTAGCTAGTAAAAACTGAAAAGACAAGGTGGGTGTGAGGGTTTGCGTGAGGGGGTGTGTTTGTTAAAAAGATTCACGTTTTATTTTTACTACTTCTACTGATATTGCTTTCTTTTCAAAGATTTGTTTATATATTGTGCTATGAATTATAAAAATGTGAAATGTAAAATGCAAATAAATGAGAAAGACTTTTTTTAAAAAAAAAGAGAAGAAAAATTGATCCCCTAAGTTTTACAACTGATCAGAAACGTACTGATAATCTTACTTGACAATTATAGTTACAGCACGGTTTTATTGTCCAAGTAGATCATCTTTTCGTTGTTGATTAACGTGAGTAAAAGTTCCAAGGTAAGTTTGAAAACAGCGTTTAATGATTGGCTTAGTGTCCACTCCGCCCCCAACCAATGTAGATCTCACCATAGGCTGCTTTACCTTCTTCAACTGACTTGCGCATTGTAGATCCATTTGCCTCGTTCGATAAAATTATCATTTCGATGGTATATATAAATGAAAGTAAATTTCAGGCTCCCAAACAGTTTTCACTACTCTCAATATTTAACAGAGAGAATATGATGATTGTATTTTTATTTCTCAGCATTGCAGGTGGCCTATCGGTTAGAGCATGTCCTATGATGATGCCGAACACTGAATACGAAACAAGTTGCATACTTACTGAATATAATGGAGATTTAGAATGTTCATTTCATGTCTCGAATAAATGGAATTTTCTGGAATTCAGAGAATGGATTGATGACTTTGATGGAAAAGATGTAACACTCGAGCTCACCTGCTCAAAAGATGGAACCGGAACCGTCTTTTTACCCGCTCCTTTTCGAGCCAAGAATCTTAAGAAACTTACCGTAAAAAATTGTATAATCGAAGGGTATCATTCTGAAAACTTCGTGATTGCAAAATATCCTGACTCTTTGTCACAATTGATTCTCATAGATGTTGTTATTCGCGTTGACCCTATTGAAATAGCGGAAAAGAGCATAAGTGAACCTCAATTTCTGAAATCAGACTACTGTGGACAAGAAACACTTTTTGGTTATAAAGAAAAAAACATATCTTATTTGGTGACTAAATCAAATTTAACAACTGATGAGGAAATGATCCTTATGAGCAAGTTTTTAGATGACACAGAGAAAAAAATTAATAATATAAACTTTACGTGTAATTTCACAAAGATGGAATATATTGAGCACTCGTACATGGCTAGTATAGGTGCCACATATTTTGAATCTCTTGCCAAGCATAAAATCTATCCAAAACTTGAAATCTTTAATTTCACTTCAAGTTCTTTATCACAAATCCCAAGTCAACTTAGTAAATGGTGGCTTTACTTTCCTAAACTTTTATACATAGATCTGACGAACAACAATATCAGAAACTTTTCCTTTGAACAACCTGGTGCTGAAACTAAAGCGGAGTACGTGACATTCAAACTAAACCATAACTCCATAACGAGTTGGCCAAGTGATATGACCCCTTTAACAAGTGGGAAAACAATTATTTTGCTAGACCTTAATGACAACCCCATCCACTGCGATCGTCGCGCTTGCGCACTTTCCAAGTATCTGGTCGAAATTGGAATGCTGGGATTTACACCAGAATTTACTGATATAAAATGTCATACGCCAAGTAACGAGACAGAGGTGATAACACTGCTCGCGTCTACACTGTGCAAATAGTCCGAGGGATTTTTATCTATGAGAATTTTATTAAACTTTCATTTGTATGGTATTCATTAGTGAATTGTTGCATGTTTTTGGGAATTTAAATAATTTTTCTTGTTTTATTGTCTCTCTTTTTTCTGTATGTTTTCGTCAATTAAGTAAAATACGTTGGGGAAGTATTGTCATTTCTTATTTTTTTTCTTTAAATGAAGTGTATGTAAGTCATAAAATACATCAATCAACTTATATTGTCTTGATTCTATTACATAAACACTATCCAATTTTTATAATTAATTTATATCATCATTATTGACTTATTAATCATTTGTTATTCATTATCTATTAAAAACTTTGTCAAAGATCAATATGATTGTACATACTATTACATTGAAAAAATATTATAAAGGCAATGGTGCTCCTCGTTAACAATATGTATATTGTTATAGTCCTAGGATACAAAGTCTTACCAAACAAAATTTATTTTAAAAAATTTCCATTGGAAAAATAAAACTCTCAATGCGCCTTTCAATTAACATTTTGCATACATTGACATTGTTTTAAGTAAAAACTAAGATATGAAATATTTATTTACTTGTCAGATCCATTGATTTCTGTGACCTCGTATTGGACTTTTACTAGAAGCACTGACTTTTACAGTTGACTGTTTACTTGGACATTTAAACATTCACATTTATGGAGGAACAGAATTGATAATGGAAAAGATTGATTGATTGTATGCTGTTTAACGTCCCTATTAAGAATATTTCACTGATATGGAGACGTCACCATTGCCGGTGAAGGGCTGCAAATTTGGGCCTATGCTCGGCACTTATGGCCTTTGAGCAGGGAGTGATCTTTCTCGTGCCACACCTGCTGTGACACGGGGCTTCGGTTTATACGGTCTCATCCGAAGGACCGCCCCATTTAGTCGCCTTTAACGACAAGCAAGGGGTACTGAGGACCTATTCTAACCC